TCAGGAAGCTGAGGCAGGAGAGTCCCAACTTTGAAGCTAGCTTCAGCAATTTAGTGAGACCCTGTATCAAAATAAAAATTTAAAAAGGCTCTATCTCTCTAAGACAGTGCTAGAGTGCCCAAGTTCAGTCCCCAGTACTGAAAAACAAGCACCAAAAATAGATAAAAAGAAAAGAATAATGCCTATAAGAAATATAAATACCAAGTCTTTTGAGACCTTTCTCTGTATATATAAAAGCTCTATAATAAAAGGAGATACATAGTAAAAGAAGCAAGAAATGAGATAAGTGAGACCAGGGAAAGATACAATGACTTTTCCTTTAAATTTACCAAATCTCATCTGAGTCTGGAACTATGTGTCCCAGCCTAGGAATTCTGAGTTGTGCTGGTCCTGCCTGCCTGCGGGTTCGGCCCACCCAGTTAGAGTAGTCTGTCTTTAGGGGTACTTTCACAACACGTTTTTAATAAAACATTTTCCTTTAAAATGTCTGAGGTTGCTAGGTGGGTACAGGGGAGCCACCCTTGACCCCACAGAGGGAATTCAAGTGATGGCACACCAAGCTGTCCCTCCCAGCTGACCAAGCTTTTGAAACAAGTCCTCTTGCAGTGGCAGGTCAGCGAGACCTCCTCCATGGGAACACGGTGTTATTGACCTGCCTCTTCCCACACAAGGTCTGTTTTGATCCTCCCGCCCTCCACACCAGCTGAGGCCTGCTCCAGGGCTGAGCCGTGGCCCCTCCATACTTCTGCAGAGGAGCAGGGCCCGCTCACACCAGCAAGGTCTGGGAGCAGCTCCTGCAGCCTGTGCTTCACACCCTTGTCCTTCAGCCCTGTCCCAGGGAAGAGGATGAGTGCCCAGATAGAAAGGGTTGGGTCCTGCTTGGAAGAGTCGCTTCCTGGCCAGCTTGAAGCCTCTTCACTCCTCTTCCACTTCATTTCTGTCCCTTTGATATCACTGACCCAGAAGACCGCAGGCCCCATGAAGTCAGCCTTCCTGGCCAGCGCTTACTTAGCACAGTGGGAGAAATGCTGGGGGCAAAGGGGAGGGGCAGTTCTAGGAAGAGTGGGAAGCCGAGCCTTGAGTCTTGAAGGCTAGAGGCACTTGTGGGTAGCAGTGGTGGCCCCCTCACAGTTCAAACTTGCCCAGCGGGTGTTTTCTGGGAGCTGAGGGCCAGCTGGAATTTTTAAGCAGCAGTGATCTATGCAGGTAGGTGAGGCAGAGGGCATGGAGGGGAGGACTCAGTGTCCAGGAAGGCAGTGACAGTGGACAGTCTGTAGGGTCTCTGGAAGGTAGAGTGGGGGGGACACAGACCAAGTCTGAGAGGACAGCCTTGAGTTCACCAGTGGCATGGGTGTGGCCCACTTTGGATGTTATGGGTTCCCAGACTCCAGGGAGAAGATCATCAATGACAACGGGAAGGAGGAAGCTAGAGGCAGGTAGGAGGGCTGGCGGGGAGGTGCTCTCCACATCCACAGAGCTGGGAGTGGCTGTCAAGTCCAAGGGCATTTGGTAGAGCAGCTTTTTTTCCCCAAAAAAACTTCTTTTAGCAGCAAAACCTTTTGTTGTTACTCCCTGAAGAGAATGCAACATGAAGCAGGAGTGTGAGGCTCCAGGGCTGCTTGGGGGCTGGCCAAACTGGGGCAGAGGAACACAGCTGCTAGGGAAGGAACAGCCAGCCTTGCCAGGGTAGGAGGATGGTGTGCAGGGAGGGAGTGTACGTCATTACAGCTTTTCTGAGGGTTGTTTTGTTGTATTTTTTTCTTTGACATGGAGTCCAAGTTGCCCAGGCTGGTCTCGAACTTTCGATCCTCCGGGTCAGTCCCCCACCCCGAGTAGCGGGGATTACCGGTATACCACCTCACCCAGCTGAGAGGGCAGTTTGGTGATATTTGTCAAAAATCACAGAACTTTTGACCCAGATTTTTCACTGGTGGGAAATTATCTTACCAAAATACTTGCACAGTACATAAAGGTGTAGGTATAAAGTGCTCATTACCATTCTGATAAATTGCAGGCATTCCAAACACATCAGAATAAGCATCTTAAACATGGCCCACTTCAGAAATAATTTAGCTGTTTAATTTATATATGTTAATACAGAAAGATCTCCAAAGGTGCATTTTTAGGTTGGGGGGGGGGATTAGAACCAAGTATGGCTACATTTCTGTCAAAACACAGAAGAAGGGTATGCATGTATTTTTATACTGTGTTTTAAAGTGATCTGAAGTAGTATGCATTGCCTACCAACACGGGTTACCTCTGGGACCTGAGATTAAAGGGGTTTCCTTTTTCTAAGTCTTTGTGCCTATCACTTTTGAATTTTTTCTTTCAAGCACTTATTAATATTAAGAAGAAAATAAAAGTTTTGGAAGGATGAAGCTACCGAAGTTAGCGTGGTAGGAGGAGAGGCTGGAGCAGGGGAGAGCTGAGGACACTAGTCCACAGTAGAGCCACTGGGATAAGACAGGGACGCATACCTGAGGGTGATGGAGGTTTTGAAGGAGGATAGGAGAAACCAGGTCAGATGCCACTCAGAGGTCAAAAGAAGTGACCATCAAGTTTGAGAAGAGGTTGGCTTCAGTTGATCCCATGGGTTTCTTTTGCTACTAACTTGCCAGTGGACACACTATCCTGTTGTTGCTCTTTTGCATCTGTGCTATAAAAAAATCAAAGAACAAAGAAAATGAAGTTGTGATTCTTACAAGTGTCCACCTAAACCTGTGGTTTTTATGAATTTGGAGATACTTATCCAGATATCTCTGTGGCCTGCTGGAAGGACACTCGAGTACCACCTCAGCAGTAATATTTTTGTCCGCTCCTTTAAAAAGCATAGTAGGTGGGACCAAAGTGCCCCGACTTTGCCCTTGTTTGTGTGATTATTATCCTTCTTGACCTAGTCTCCCTCTCTCTTTTTTTTAACCTTCTAAAGTTGGATGATGACTAACATTGAGGACAAAGGCAGGCCCACTTAGAGCTTTCTGCTTTTATTCACTCAATATTTGGGCCTGCTCCTTTTCTTTGGGCCTGGGTATTTCACAGTCATTCTGGCTTGGCAGGTTCCCACTTGGTTCGAGCCAGTTCTCGAATAATAGCATGTGAATAGCGTGTTTTCCTCGCCCCAGGACTTGTGTGCTATTTACTGCACCAACTAGGGCAGGTGAGCAGCTCACAGAGGGGCCCTCTTTCAGCTCCGCTCCCCTCTAGGCAGCTTTTTCTGAAGACCTTCTCCTCTCCTAAAAGTTTACTGGATAAAGAATGGGAAACGCTGGAGATTTGGGGGTTTTCAGAAATAAGCATCTTAAACATGGCCCACTTCAGAATTTTTCTTTTGGGCCAGATTAGGCCCTAAAGCTTAGTTTTGCTTTAACAACTGGATTACCATAACTTTCTTCCACATTTTAATTTCATGAATTTTTAATTTGTTTTGTTTTTACTGTTTTGGAAAGTTTTATGTGATGTGAATCAGTTTTCTTAAAGCTGAATTTTAATTTCAAAATTTCCTTGGGACTTAAATTCGTAACAGTGTGTTAGCTCACATGCCATCCAAGTATAATGCTTTCAAGATTCCAGATGGTTTCTATCTGGATTGTGGATTTGAGCTGAGAGTTAAAAGATGTTCCCTGGCTGGGAGTATAGTTGAGTGGTAGAGTGCTTGCCTAGCTTGCAGGAGGCCCTGGATTCCATCCCCAGCACCACAGAAGAGTATTGCTCCCTGTTTGCTTCCTTCCAAACCATTTGCGGTCCTCGTGAGCTCCAGTTACCCCTCCCTAGCAGCTGAATTAAGGTCTACTGTTAATCGTATTTCTAAACTGAGGGCATCTAACGACAGCAAGAAACATTGGCTTGGCCACACATTCCCTAATAGAGATGACTGATTCTCTAAGTTTCACCTGAATTTAGACCTGTTGATAAATAATGAGCAGATCCTGATGGCCGTCTGATTCGCAAGGTATGAGAAGTAGCTGGTGGATCTGCAGGAGAGATAGGTATTCTGTCTGCATTAGCAGAGAAATGATGAATAATAAACATGAATTAGCACCATCTGGGTTGAAATTCCCCACCAGGGATGAATGTTTATTAAAAAATACATGATCATTGACAGTTTCCCCCACGCGTCTGTGCCTTCCTTTTAGAGAACAGCTTATGGAATTGGTGTTTCGTTTTTAGTCTCAATTGCTTTTGCCAAAACTTATCCACTAACTTCTGGAAAATGCATAGGTGCCACTGGTGGGCCATTTCTCTGATATAAGTTGAGGGTTTTCATCCTTGTTTTGCTTTAATTTGGTAGTGACAGGAAAGGTGGGTCTCTGTGCAACCAATAATAGCTGGGAGATGAAGCGAACGATCAGCCTTCAAAATGAGCTTGACCCTGAAGGCCAGGAGTTTGCATTGCTGTGATAGGAGAAAGCCTGAACCTGCTGAAAATTTCCAGTATTTGTAACTGATGTAAAATTTATGAATAGCTCTGTGGAAATTAGTCTTTATATTAACAGGTTCAAGTGAGCATCAAACCTTGGCTAACATTAGCTGTTGCTAGCTGCAAAGTCTCTGATTGGCTAGAAATGGCTCAAGTTAGACATGTGGTATATCAGCATTTTGGTTTGACATGAATCAGTTGATGGTTGGTAATGGTTTATTTGTTCAACATAAATTTATGAACTTATTTGCCAAGCAAGCATTTCAACAAATACTTCTTGAGAGTCTGTGGGGGTCCAGTGGTCAGGGATGGGGAGACAACTGTGGATGAGGCAGACGCAGTCCCTGCCCTCAGAGGGCTGGTGGTGGACTGAAGAGCAGGATTAAGCATTTGACTTTGGGAGTGTGCTGGACAAGGGGGTGTTGTAGGAGAGAACTGGTCCCTGCCTTCTGGGGTGCTCGGCCTCGTTGGGTCAACAGACACATCACACAAGTGTTCAAAAAAATATTGTAGGATGCAGCACAGGGAAGCCAGGTGTGGGTGTGAACTGTGAGTGCTAATGACTGTCTTCTGCCCTCCACAGCATGGACAAGGACAGCCCAGATGTCCACCAGGACCTGAATGCCCTCAAAACCAAGTTCCAGGAGATGCGGAAGCTCATCAGCACCATGCCGGGCATTCACCTGAGCCCTGAGCAGCAGCAGCAGCAGCTGCACAGCCTCCGGGAGCAGGTCAGGACCAAGAACGAGCTCCTGCAGAAGTACAAGAGCCTCTGCATGTTCGAGATCCCCAAGGAGTAGAGGCCGCCAGTGTCCAGGACCCAGAGGAAGGCAGGGGAGGCAGCCGGCTTCCTTGCCCACAGTTCCTCTGGACTCTAGCTCTGAGCCTGGCCTCACCAGCCGCAAGCTGTACATACCCATGTGGCTAAGGCATGCCGACGTGAGCGTCTGCCACTGGAAGCCAGAGGATTCCTGAGGCTGGGGGGAAGGGCTGCCCTGTACTGGGGAGGGGGCCATCTGCTGTGTGTCTGGGTCCCTCCCGCAGATCTGAAGAGCACAGTAGGAAAGGAGGCGGCTCTTCCTTGCTTCCTGCCCTCCCGCTCCTCCCACCTCTGATACAATCAGCATGTACCAGGTACATATTGTTCCTGTTAGCAGCCGTTTGGTGAAACATTTGCATAGAATTCACTGGACAAATTAGGCCTGTACTCATATGGCATGGGTTTAATATGATTAAAGAAGACTGTGAGAGAATGAGCCTTGTTCTGAAAGGCCAGAGGGTGGGTGGCTTTCTCTCCCCTCTCCAAAACAGTTCGGTTCCTTTTATGTTTGAGCCAGTGAGGGGGGGGGGGGGGGGGGGGGGGGGGGGGGGGTGTCCCCTCAGTGCCCCCCCACCGCCAGGCTGCCGCTGACTCCAGGCTCAGTCTTCCTTTCTGTTCGGCTCTTGCTGCCATTGTCTTCTGTCACCTTCAGTTAGTGATGGAGAAGAGCCAACTTTCCACAGCCACAGTGCTTCCTCAGGGATGGAGAGGGCCGGACCTTGGCTTGCAGGCTCAAATAGAGTTTTAGATCCAAGAGCAGATCTCCCCATGATACCCATTGCCCCGGCTCAAACCATTATTTCCCCTCTGGGCTTCTCACCACAGACAGCCCTGTTGGCTGTCCTGCAAACAAAAGGGTTCACAGTGCACTTTTTGTTGAGAAGGGGGCTCTCAGTGGCAGTTGGGATGTCCCCTCAGCCAGGTGTGACAAGGGAGTTCTGGATCGGTTCTGATGGGATGGGCGGGCTAGGTCTAGAAGTTACAAGGCCAAGTTCTAGTTCTTACATGTTTATAAACAGCCTTCACTCCCCCAGCTCCATGATTTTTTTCTGATGGGACACTATGTGTGCTCTCCCCTTCTCTGCAGTGGGTATGACAGCAGTTCTTCCCCTGACTCTTAAGAGTAAGGTGAGAAGTAACTGAATATTGATTGCATCTAGAAATGGGCACATAATCTGCTGACCAGCTCAGGGGCTTAGCAGGTGCCTGTTGACTGGCCTCGTTGGCAGAAGTACTGGTTGGAGATGTTTTTAGCAGGGGTTCTAGTGGTGTCAGCCTGCAGCCACCTGTCAGAAGATGGCTGGGTTTCAAAGACAGGCTTTGGCCAGAAGAGTAGGCTCTGAGTTTAAGTGGGTGGCCACCTATTGGACCAGTTCTATCTTGGGACTGTTATTTAACTGAATCAGTTATTCTTAAAGTTTCAGAGTAGCAGGTGGGCCAATTTTAAGGCTCTAACCAAATACCATGAAACATGAAGCACGTAAAAATACAAGACCTTTAGGGCCTTTCTGGGAGTCTGAAATGGAGATGGTGCGTGTGGGGGGGATGAACTTCTCTGTTTTCCATGATTTGATTTGTGATATTTTTCCAATGTATGATTAAAAGTACTTATTGCTCTATTGCCGGGACACCCGGGTTTTTTGTGTTTGCTTTTGCAGTGCTGGGGGGTCAAACCCAGGGGATCATGGTTTTTTATGCCCAGGAATTCATAGTGGGTGTATCTTGCATAGTTGAGAGGAAGGTATTCACTTTGCTGAGACAAAGAATAAAATGTGAACACCCTCTGCTCCTTGCCCCTCTCCTTGTAGTGCAGTTAAACAACATAAAAACAGTAATTGCTGGGCACAGTGGTACATGCCTGTAATCCCAGTTACTCTGGAGGCTGAGAGACAGATGGCCATCCAGGGCAACTTCGCAAGACCTATCTCAAGATAAATAATAAAAGATCTGGGGATGTAGCTCAGTGGTAAGGTACCCTGGTTTCAATCTCCGGTACCAAAAAAAAAAAAAAGAAGAAGAAGAAGAAGAACTCTTCCTCAAGAGCAGCATCTGTCCCACAGGTGAATGCGCCTGTGTGAGCCTCCTCTGGGCTATCCCTCCTCCCAGGGAGGTGGGGGGGTGGGTTGCTTGGTAACTTTTGGTAATTTGAGGAGGTCTAGTACTGGCAGGGAGTGGCCCTCACCAGAGCAGGGCTGAAGTCCCTTCCCTAGTTTTGAGTCTCCTTCACAGGGAGCTGAGCACCCTCTAAGAAGCCACCAGTTGTGTGGGTTACTGGGTGGCAGGCACTTGTGCTACTTGTGTCACATTGAATCCCCACAGCTACTCCATGTGGAGGGCCTTCTCTGTATTTCTCAGGTGATGAATCTGAGCTTTAGCAGGTGTCACTTGTTTCAAGCTTACACAGAGCTGGGTCAGGAGTTACAAGCAGATGGCCTTAACCACTGAGGGACCCCACCCAGGGCAGCAAGTGCCTTTGGAAGCTACAGGGGGAGCTGGAGGCAGTGGGGATCTTAACTATCTCTAGTCACATAACCCTGGGGCAAGAGGACAAGGGTCCAGCACAAGCCTGCTCCCCATGGGTCTCCCTGGTTCCATTTTCTTATTTGTGACAGTCAGGCCCGAGTGTCAAACAATCTGCATTTCAAGTTTGACAAGCTTCTGTAGCTTGGGTCTGCCCTGTGATGAGTGAGAAATCAGTTCTACAGAAGAGGACGTAAGAATGTTCACTCAGCACACCAAGCCCAAGGTGACCCGGCTAAAGGAGAATAAGCAGGTAGATGGCTAGAAATATTTTTTTTTTTAGGGAGATCCCTGAAATCCTTCTCTGTCCTGATTTTCTAGAAGCCCCTTCATCTGGAGTTTTTTTTAGTTTCCTCCCCCATGAGGCTTGAAGCTGTTTCCAGAAGGGCAGGGTTATCCTCCTGTTCTGGAGAAGGTGATGTCCAAGTCACTGCAGCCGAAACCCAGCCTCCTCCCTTCTCCCCCAACCCCTTCTAGAAGCAAAGAAAGCCGTGTTTTCCATGTTAAATTATTTTATTTTATATTAAAAAAACAACAACAATAACTTTAGAGTTTCACACACACACACAGTATAAACACCTGGATAGGATTTTGTTCATGTCCATGTCGACAGCGGAACTACTATTAAAGTGCAAGTTTTCTGTTTTGTTTTTCCTTTGTGCAACTTCACACACACACATGTAAACAAGTCTCTTGGCTATGACTTGACCCACGCACCCCCGCCAGTTTTTTTCTGGAGGACAGAGGCCTTTGCCAGCTGTTACCAGCAATGGGGAATCACAGACAAGATAATGCCCCAAGGGTCCTGACCCTCAGGCTAAAGCCAGGCAGGACCGGTTACTTGATGCCCAACAGTGGCTGGTGAACTTCGCTTCACCCCCTCCCTACTCTCATTCTCTGGTCTCTGATTAAAAAAAGAAAAGAAATGCCCCCTCTGCTGGGCCACCATCCACGTTGTGAGGGTGGAGGACGCCAACAGAGAGGCTCAAAGGTGGGGGAGTCCAGGTCTTTGCCAGTTCTCCTTCCTTCCGGAGCAGATGACCGTCCCTTCTCTGTTTGGTGGCGCCTTCACAGTGCGCGAGGCCGGGTTTCGCGAAGGGAAGACACCAGTCCGCGTGCACTCGCGGCCCGGGGCGCGCCCAGGCTGGCCCAGGCGTCGAATTTGACTTACACAAAAAAAGTCCTCCTTGGATTGTGTCGCCGGCGCGGTGGGGGGCTCCTAGCTAATGACGCAGCGCTCCTTGTCCTTGGCCTGGCCGCCGCCGCTGGCCTTCTCGCGGATGTACATGAGGTCGCTGTGCACGCTGGGCCTGCGCGCGAAGGGCGCCACAATGCCGAAGGCGTCCCCCGGGTCGCCGCCGCCCCCGCTGCCGGCCCGCAGCAGCTTCTTGTTCCGCAGCGCCTTTTTGTGCAGCACGTCGCAGTACTGCACCGACACCTTGCGGTGCAGGTCGGGGCTCATCTCGCTCGGCAGCTTGGCCATGGCGAAGAGCGCGCGGAACATCTGGTCTAGGCTGCTGTTCTTCTTGGCTGAAATCTCGAAGTAGGCGCAGCGCTGGGGGTCGTCGCCCACCAGCTGCTCGATCTCGCGCTGCTCCACCTCGCGGTAGAAGTCCCGGTCCCCCTTGTTCCCGCAGATGACCAGGGGCACGTCCACGTTCTCCTTAGTTTTGTTCTTGAGGCAAGACTTGGTGTCCAAGATCTGCTGCTTGAGCCTCTGCACCTCCTCGAAGGAGTCGCGGTTGTCCAGGCTGAACACCAGGATGAAAACGTCTCCTGCAGAGCGGGGACAGGGGACAGAGAGGTGAGGGCGGCTGCCAAGGGGCTCCCGCAGCCGCGCGAGGCGCGCGGTGCGCTTAAGCGCAAAGCTCAGAGCGCAGAAGTGGGACCCGCCGCGCCGCGCCGCCAGCCGGCCCTCGCAGGGTTAGCCTGGACCCGGTCCCCACGCCCTCCCACCCGCGCCCGCGCCCGCCGTCCGCTCCGGCTCCCCCCCAGCTCACCTGTGAGGATGGAGAGGCGCCGCATGGCTGGGAACGGGTGGTTGCCGGACGTGTCCAGGATGTCGAGCTGGTAGACCTCGCCGCGGATGGAGTAGAACTTGCGGTGGAAGTCCTCGATCGTGGGTGTGTAGGCATCCTCGAAGCGCCCGGTGAGGAAGCGCGACACGATGGCCGTCTTGCCTACCTTGGACGAACCGAGGATGACCATGCGGTAGCAGTTCTTGGCCGGGATACTCAGCTCCGAGTCGGTCGGACACATCTTCTTGATCATCGCCGCCAGTTTCATTGGGTGGAGGGGCCGCGGGGCGGATGCGGGGCCGAGAGAAGTGCTGAGGGCTACCGAGGGCGCGAGAGTGGACACGCCGGAGCGGCAGGGGACTCTGCTCGGGCTCAACTCGCCTGCAGATCGTCTCCGGCTCAGGACAGGGCTCTGGACGGGCTCGGACTCGGGCTAACTCTCTGAACACAGGCAGCTCGCTCTGGCTCTGCTCTTCCCGCCGCCGCCTTTATATGCAGCCGGCGGGGGCCGCCCCGCCCCGCGCCACCCTGCGCCCTCCCAGCCTCAGTGCGTCACGCCCCGCGGGCACCCTCCTCTGCTTCCCCGCACCCGCTCCTGCCCGCGACCTCAGCAGCTGCACTGCTGCTGCCCAGTGGGCGCGCGAAGGGAACCGAGTCCGGGTTGGGGGCTAAGGGCGCGCGAACCCACCGCACAGGGCACAGCGGCTGCAAGGGGCGTCAGTTGTCCTGGTCCTGGCTGTGCCTGACTTGGTCACTTCGGGCTAGGACCCCCAACACCCGCGCACAGACACTTAGTCTTTCTTTAGGCCTCAGTTTCCCCAGAAAATAACGACAATAATCCAGCAGGAGCAGCGTTTTCGGGCTTCGGGTGAGAGCCCCTAACGCCAGCCCCTTC